TTTCCTGCCAGCTGATGAAGAATGAAGTGCAAGCAAGAGATACAGCAGTATATACTATGTATATTGAAAATAATTGTGTTGCACCATCAGGAAAACTTCTAATCTAATATATAGTGTATAACAAACAAATAAAAAAATAAACTAATACAAATGAAATATCAAAGTCCACCAAAAGTGTGCAAAATCTTCATGCAGCAGCTGTGCACCAACCACCAAGTGATTATATTGCTGCTTACCAAATCCTTAGATCTTACAACTTCAGAGGTGTAAATCAGGCTTTAAAAGATGACAAATCCCGCATGGATGGATGGATGCATGACTCCAGCTCTCTTCCTCTCACACCTCAGCAAGCCTCAAGCCTCACTCTCTCATGAATACCATGCATTCAAACGTGATCACTGGATCACTCACATATACCAGACTCAACAGCAAAAGCACATACCAAGGAAAGAGCAAGGAAATCCCATACTAAAGTGCCTTATAAAAACATTTATTAATATACAAAGTGGGTGCTCACAAAACAGATAGTATGACAAGCATATCACACAGCTCCAAGTGGGTGTGATGACATCACTGCCCAATTCTGCCCTATGCACATTTTGTCCTTTCATCCATCGAGACATCTTCCAAGGGGCAACAGAGTAGAATTTATATATATATATATATATATATATATATATATATATATATATATATATACACACACAAAGTACAAAGGGGTTACAGCACAGAGCATAATAATTTTAAAGAATAATCCAGTATCCTTGCTGTTTTGATTACTGACCTGCATTATGCAGTAGAAATGGAGTTATGTTTGTGTCCAGGTTCTAAATGGCTTCTATATGAGGAAAACGTATGATATACCAAAGAGGTACATAATAACCTAAATTCTCTCCAGGGGTGATGTGCAGGCCATGGCAGAAGTGCCTTGTCTGTATCTTTAAATACCTCTTCCATACGCCTCCATTTCCCCAGCAGAACAAAACGGGTTATACAGGGTACCCCCCAGACTTGTCCCCTCTTGTTACTAGGAGGCATCTCCTGGCTTTGGTGACTTCGCCCCTAGCTTATGTTTTTCTTACATTCCAGACACCATTATATTTGGTGATAGGTTAACATATTATAATTGATGACTTATTAAAACATTTTTTTACTCCCTCCCTCCCTTCAATGCATGAAATTTCCAAGCTGATGAAAAAAACATTTTCTGCCTTTATCCATCGCTCCAACCTTTTCCGTCACTATCTCCCGCCAACATGTCCCCGATGAATATTAATACAAATGAAACAATTGACATTTACGTGTTTCACTTCATTGTTTTTTTTTCCTCCTCTGTTTAAATGTCTAAACAACGTTTAATTGAGATTGTTCTTCAGCATCCTGAGCGTGGCGCTGATTGGAGTGCCGGCATGGGAAGTAGCGCTGCGTGGGTACATTAAAGAAGTGTTTTCTATAAACAGTGTGTTTTTTCCCCGCCAGAGTAAACAGCTCTAATGTTATAGTCTCCGCTTGCGTGACTTCATTTTTCATGTATATTCCTTTCGCTCGGCATTAGGATCCGTACAAATCAATTAAAGTGCCTTAATCTCATCTGTTTATTGACGGCGGAACTGCGCTCTGAGCCTGGGGGACGTTTATCACCAGGCCGCAATTTGCTGCCACTTCATCTGCTACACAACTTTCATTTGTTCCCATAAACGTTGCAGCTCCGAGGCCTTCTCATTGGTTGGAACATTCTAAGAGTTAACACAGAATCTTTCAGTTATAAAGGGTAACTCTGCTTTTTCTGTGAGCCTTCTATGATATTTCCCCCCTATAGTTTGCCAACTTTGCTTCCTGCTTGTCATTTTACTTCCATTTCTGGGATTCTAACACATTATTTATACAGAATACACTGTGACATTATCACATCGGCTCCCTGCAAGATTTAGGTTGGAGTAAGTGATATACTAAATATTACAATGTATTGAACTAGAGAGAATGTGAGAGACAGTGCGGAGTGGCCTTCATTGTAATTTTGTGCGGTCCACTGGCAGAACAATTGTCACATGTTGTCCTCAGGCGATGTCCTTCTTTCCCATGTCGTTATTTATAGCCATGTCAGAAGGATCCGCTGCGGCTCTGAATCTGCAACCCCCTGCCGGGACTGAAATTACCTCTAATGGTTGGTTGACGCTGTGCTTTATGGCAGCCATTTTGTTCCCCAACAGAGGTGCAATCGTCTAGCGGTAAATGTCACAGCAGAACTTGCCAAATGATTGTGATAAATGTTCAAACTTTGTGCAGTGCATGTTGATGTGAGTTCTATTAACTGTGTGTGTCATGTTGTGTGTCTCCATGTATGACAGTATTATATATATATTCCGATACTCATTCACTTATGGTTGGAATAGTAGGACTCTATAATAGAATATATAGGGGACAGAGCAGGGACCTCCAGCTTGGCAGGAAGTGTCAGGAGGGAGATGTGTCTTCAGAACTTGTATGTGAGAGGGGAGTGTGGAAACAATGATTACAGCCATCTTGTTTCCTTCCTGGGGGATCAATGGAGACCAAAGAGATTTCTTCTGCTGGGAGCTTGCAGACATCCTCTGGGCTGACAGGCAAGATGCCTGCATATGTAAAAAAGGCACGTGCTTGTGATCCCTCTGCCCCTGCTGAGGGCAAAAGTGCTGAAGCCATTCAGGGGAGAGTGGTGGCTGGGATTAAGATCCTGAATAAAGAGGGCAGGTGTCAGACAGCATTCCCATTTTTGGCCACCCTGACATTGACCAAACAACCCCAGTCTACATGTTACGAACGTCGAGAATTCTAACTGATTTTGTTGACACCTTTCTATAATCTCTCAACCTGACCTCAAGGTCTAGAGGTGGAACACTCTCATTATGAAGAATGATGGTGTTTTTTTTTATTATCAATCACTGTGAAACAGTAACTGGTGCCAGACCTCCCCATTTGGGTCTTGGACCTGTACGGAGCATCATATTATTCCCAGAACAGGTCAAGACCCTCAAGCCTAGAGAAGCGCATGGTAAACTTCTAGCTCCCAGCCACATGAATGAGGGAATTTAGGTAATTTGGGCGCAAACCCATCCCCAAGATCAGGTCAATCAACTCATGTCTTGCTAGAGAGACTGCTCCACCTCCCTATTAAGCATGACCACATTGCACCTTTGCCCCCCAGCAGAAACACAAGACCCAATTCTGGGGGGCTTGGAGTTGTAGCTTATGAAGGCAAAGTCTGTTTGGAGGAGGAATCCCTATTTAAATGCATCCATGGCTTCTGACATTGCTAGAGGCACAGCCTACCACCTGAGTGAATGTAAACATGTCAGGGCCATTTCTCCGCACCCAATCTCATTTTGTCAGCCAGTAATTTATTAATATGGACTGGAACTGAGTTGGCAGGGTTTTCTTTCACATTATGTTGGCAGAATTGTTATAAGTCACACAGGAATGAAATCTCCCATCAGGTGCAGTCCCAATGGTAGTTGCTCCCATGGTGGATGCTTCTATACCACCAGCAATCTGATGCTGCACCAGAGAGTCAAAATCAGAAGCTGTGGCTGGGCAAGCAGTTTTGGATATAGCAGGAAAATTGGACTTGTCAAATGAGGGTTAATGAGTTCTGCAATATTAGATGGCACAAAAACATGTTTAGTCACTGTCTGGGACTTGGCAGGCTTTTCCATATCAGTCACATTATTAGGTAGTCCCCATCCGCAAATACCAGCTGCCCCCCATAATGGTGATTCCATTGAGTGGAGGACATTTAGGATGATACTTGATCCCTGTAAAAGAGACTTTTCATCTAACAATGAGTGGGCAGGGGATCAGGAATCCATCTTTACCATTCTTTAAAACTGATGATCATTCTGAATTTTTTCTGTGACTGGTCCATTTCTCCCTTCCACTACAGTCACAGTTGATTCATTTTGGTTCATGGAGCCACGATTTCAGCTAAGCTTCTGCTCTTGCTATTTTACCAATCACTGCACCTCAGCTTTATGCTGAGTCCAACTGGTAGATACGAGGAAAGTTCTTATGAGCTGGATCTTTAGCACAGATTTTCATGACTCACTGGCTTTAAGACCAGAATGCCCAGGTCCAATTTTGAGGGAGGGGTTGACCTGATAAAGACATACCTCATTTTGTTCTTTTTGTATGTCAGCTTTGTCTGCCTCTTCATCCTATGCTCTATAGTGTGTTCTTTCAAAAGCTGTGGGGGAACAGACTGAACTATATCAAGAGGAATGTCACCTATCTGTCCAGGAGACGAGCTTTGCTTAGGTATGATCAACCCAATTCTTTTCACTACTAAAGATGGCCATGTGAAGAACCGTAGGGGTCATCATGATCAACTCCTAGCCTATGTTGCTGTTTTCCTGAAGTTGCTGCAGCAGCAGTGACTGTCAGCTGAAGATCTCAGGTCAATTCTGAGGAATGTTCTTATGAACCAGATCTGGCCTGGTTGTGCTTCCACAGAAAGCTGTGTGTTAGGGACAATTTTAAATTCTGTAGTGAGATGGAATGTTTGGAGCATTCAATGCTGAAGTGTTTTTTAGTCCTTCCTTTCCAGGGGTGATGGTGCAGTCCATTCTGCATGAGATGGGGAAGATTCTGGTTCTTGAGACAAATGGGGGCAGGGGGCTTGGTTGTAAGCATGGAGGGATATTAGCCGCTTCCATACAGGGCACTTTTACCACCTTCCTGCCCAGGCCATTTTTCAGGTTTCAGCGCTATCACACTTTAAATGACAATTGCGCGGTCATGCAACACTGTACCCAAACTAAAATTTTTATCATTTTCTTCACACAACTAGAGCTTTCTTTTGGTGGTATTTAATCACCACTGGGTTTTTATTTTTTGCTAAATTAACAAAAGAAGACCAAAAAATGTGGAAAAAAAACACGTTTTTCTTTTGTTTCTGTTATAAAAGTTTGCAAATAAATAATTGTTCTTCATAAATTTAGGCCAAGATGTATTCTGCTACATGTCCTTGGAGTTCACAAACTATGGTGTGTATCTGAAAATTGATCAATCCTGAAGTACTGACGGCCAATCTAATTTCTTGAGGTCCAAGAATGTCAGAACAGTACAGATATCCCCCAAATGACCACTTTTTGCAAAGTAGACAGTCTGACGTACTTCATAAGAGGCATGGCGAGTTTTTTGTAAGTTGTATTTTTTTTCCCATAATTTTTTGGAAAATGAAAAAATTAAAAAAAATATTTTCACTAATTTTTTTACATACTGTCACCAGTGCAGTACAGTGTCATCATATAACTGGCATGGCGGTGATAAGGGGCACTGACTGGTGACAGTATGAAAAAAAAATTGATAATTTTTTTTAACCTCCCTGGCGGTATGATTATTTCAGATTTTTGGTGCTGAAAGCGGTACCATTATTTTGCATGGAAATTTGGCGTTTTATATTGTAGGCTGTAATTCTTAGGAATAACTCACTGAAATCTGTCCGAACAAGAGTCTAGTAAACATCCTGGGTATGATAAAACTTGAAACACGAAATCAAAAATTATAATTTAATAAATAATCATAAAAAAAATAATATAATAATAAATTTAATTCAATAATAAAAATCAGACCAAAAACACTGAAATTTGAAATATAGCACCAAGTTCGCACATCGCTGAGCAAAGTCGCAAAATTGTTTTCAGTGTCTGATGACGAATTTCCCAACGAATCATTATCACTCAATTCTGCAAGTGGTTCTGATTTACTATTGCTGTTCTCTAGCTGGTCTAAAACCGCTTTTGACCTAAAGGAACGCTTTTTGGACACCATGGACGTTTCTCAGTTTCCAGGTAGAAAGAACAGTAATTTTCTATTACATTTTTTTCTCTTTTTGTAAGATTTTTTTTTATATTTCACTATGACCAAAGTAGTATAATGTTACAATAGTACCATTGTACTACTTTGGGGAAGTGATCAGTATTTTTTTTTTTTTACACAATTTGCTTATAGCAAAGTATTACTTTGCTATAAGCAAGCATTTACTTGAATGACATCGATTCATTCAGGGTTTTTTTTTGTGCTTAGCTGTGATTTGCCCACGGCTAATCACATGACACGGCTGAACTGTGATTGGCCCAGCTTGTGCATGTGATCGCTGTGACCATTCACAGCTAGACACACTTGTATACAATGTATGGCATGAAAGGAAGCCATCCATTGTATACAACTGTCATGTGATCTGCTGTGATTGCTCACAGCAGGTCACATGGTACCGGCAACGGAGCCGGTACACAGATCTGTCATCGGCCGTGTCTGAGGTACATGGCCGGTGACAGATCGTGCTGCACAGCGGCCCTGTAGGCAGGCGCACTGCGCTTGCCTGAAAGGATGCCATATGGCGTCCACCCGGAGGGACGAAGTGTTTTGCCGGCCGCCTTTGTGCTATTGGCCGGGTGGGAAACAGTTAAAGGGTAACTACACTTTTGTCGGAAAAAATAGCAAATTAAAAAAAAAATAAATATATAGCATATACAATTGTGACAGAAGTCATATTGTATTTGAATGTTATTAAAAATTATCTTTCCTTTTCAATCTACAGCGCTGTCATTTTCTGTAAAATGCAATGCAATATGGCAACCTGGAGGTGTTCTGTGCTCAGAATGTGGACAGAAAGCCCCTCAGAAACATAATTTCCTGCTTGTGTGATTGGCTTACTGATTTTCCCAGAAATCTGCACTGAGATACAAATCAGTTTTCAGGCATCCCCTGAAACAAAATGTAATTTTTGGTTATTTACTCCGAATAGGCAATCATGTATAAAGAGATGCAGACCCTGCCATTTTCCTCATTAGAGCCCTGCAGGTGCAGCAGCTGATTGATGAATATGAACCCACTCCCATTAGATTGCACATGGACACAGACAAACAACTCTTTCTTCAGAATAGGAATCTGCAACAAACTGTGTTAAAATCTTTGCAATGTACATAGATTACCCAGTGGAGAAAGTTTATTTTTTTTTCCTCAACAAAAGGGGAGTTACTCTTTAAGCCTCTGTGACTTTCAGGAGTGGGAGTGTGGCTGTCTATCTCATGTCACCCTGTTTTTTTTTCTTTCAGTTTTCAATGGACACATCCATAGGTGAATGAGTTGCCTAATGAGTTTTTGCAGTATTAGCTGTTTTTGATGTGGTTATATAGTTCTGAATGGCTGTGTGCAGGGTTGTGCCTTTTAATCCTTCTGTTGCACAATGAAAATAATTGAAGATTCTGCAGAATTAGCCAGCAACTCAGAGTATTTCAGGAGAGGAGAGTTAGAGGGAGAGCCATCCAGCAGTGCAGAATATTTCAGGAGAGGAGAGTTAGAGGAAGAGGGACAGCCATCCAGCAGTGCAGAGTATTTCAGGAGAGGAGAGTTAGAGGAAGAGGGACAGCCATCCAGCAGTGCAGAATATTTCAGGAGAGGAGAGTTAGAGGAAGAGGGACAGCCATCCAGCAGTGCAGAGTATTTCAGGAGAGGAGAGTTAGAGGAAGAGGGACAGCCATCCAGCAGTGCAGAATATTTCAGGAGAGGAGAGTTAGAGGAAGAGGGACAGCCATCCAGCAGTGCAGAGTATTTCAGGAGAGGAGAGTTAGAGGAAGAGGGACAGCCATCCAGCAGTGCAGAATATTTCAGGAGAGGAGAGTTAGAGGAAGAGGGACAGCCATCCTGCAGTGCAGAATATTTCAGGAGAGGAGAGTTACAGGAAGAGGGACAGCCATCCAGCAGTGCAGAGTATTTCAGGAGAGGAGAGTTAGAGGAAGAGGGACAGCCATCCAGCAGTGCAGAATATTTCAGGAGAGGAGAGTTAGAAGAAGACTAACATCCATCCAGCAGTGCTTCAGGAGAGTTAGAGGAAGAGGGAGAGCCATCCAGCAGTGCAGAGTATTTCAGGAGAGGAGAGTTAGAGGAAGATGGACATCCATCCAGCAGTGCAGAGTATTTCAGGAGAGGAGAGGAAGAGGGACATCCATCCAGCAGTGCAGAGTATTTCAGGAGAGGAGAGGAAGAGGGAGAGCCATCCAGCAGTGCAGAGTATTTCAGGTGAGAAGAGAGCTAGGGCCTATTCACACCAGATGTGGTGTGGTTACCGTTGCAGTTTTTTCCAGCACAGCTCCAGTGCATAGACAAAGCAAAATGCCTTGCTTTCTGGGGTGTCAGTTCACACCACAACATTGTATGCAGTGCTGTTTTAGTGCCGTACTGGTTTGAAACACAAACTCACTGCATCACAATGCTGCCACAGTGGATAGAACTCTAATGAAAAGTCATTTGTGATATTGAATAAAGTTCTGTGAAAAAAAAAACAGTGCAATACGTCAGCACACAAAAAGCTCTGAATTTGGCGCAGTTTCCTGGTGTGACCAAGCCCAAAGATAGATGAAGGAGCTGAGTGCAGAGTATCTCAGGGGAAGAAATTAATGGCTTGTTTACACCTGTGTTGCTCTTTGAAGAGCGATCCATGTTGCATTGCTTTTAAAGAGCAGAGTAGGCATGGCTGTCAGGCATTCAGGTGGCAATACTGGGCCTTTTGGAGGGGAATACTGTGCCGTAACCACAAGTTTAGCGCATGGTACGCAATTGCAGCATGGCTTCATTCACTTGAATGGGTAATGTTGGGTAGCAGTACTGCCCCTACACTTGCAGAGCAGCAAAGCATTGTGACTGTGGCATGTGTACAGCTCAGCTGACTATTTTTACTAAGGTTTAGACAGGAGCAGAGTCCTCCAGCAGTGCAGAATTTAGTATGATTCCACTTTCTTGTCACACATAGATTGTTACTATTAATTAATTATGACATTTCTTAATGACAGTAGATTTTCCCTTCATGGGGCTCCGGATTCAGTTCAGAACTCCATACGCTGCTTATCTGGCAAACCTTACAACTTCCTGATTTGATGGTTAAATCTCTCTTTCCTCATTAACCTCTGAGCCCAATAACATGCAGTTTGTGTTTCTCATTCCTAGTGCCAGGAAACATTTTTCCTTGTTATATGGTCATCTTTGAGCCTGTTATGATCGGAAATTTTTATTCTAGTGGTAGAGAGTCGCTTGCTGGCTCATATTCATCTGATTTCACAGACGTGAGCAGTGATCTCCTCACTGTAATATCGCTCTATGGATTCACTGTGATTTTCCTGATTCTGCCGACATTTTCCCTATTAATACTCCGGGAAGAGTGCGGCTGAGGGAGGCATTAATCATCAAAACGTAACGATGAAATATCATTTCCATTCACTTGTTATCGGGAACTTTCGCCAAGCTTAATTTAAACTATCTGCAGCCCATTCCTTTTCCCCACCGGGCTGTTGTATCAATTTATACAGTTTAATTATTTTATATGGAGGTATATTTCACTCTGTGCACCTCGCGGTGGGGAAATACTTTATATGATAGAGAACATTGGTGCAGCAGCAGAATTGAAGGGCCGGGAACTGATGGCAAAAGCTTTTCTGAGCAACTCCTGAGGAAAAAAAATATATGTGAGCAGCTGTGACCCTATGTAGTGTCATTTCTTACAATATTAACTTCCATTTTAAAGTGCAACTCTAAATAAACAAATGAAATGCATTTAGTGCCTGGCAATTTGTTTGTATTTCCATTTAGCCAGTTCTTTGATTTACAGAGTCTTGCCATACTGAATAGTCAAGTAATGAGAGGGTGAAACAACTTTTCAAAACTTGCAACTTCAAAGTTTCCACAGTCCCTACGCACCTCCAGATACCCTCTGAGGTTTATATATATACCGTACTCGACCCTCTAGTAAGCTCCTAAACACGTCCGTCCAGCCTCCAGTGCCTGAACTGAATGACAGCACCTTGTATCACATTGCAGAACCTGTCACTATCAACCTGATTTCTGGTGACCAGGGAAGGTAATGTAAAAATTGATTTTAGGTAATTCTATGAGCAGGAAGTGAAGAAGTGGGAATGCACAAAGCAGTGAATACGCCACAGAGGTTCTTACCCTTAACCTCTCTATCCAAAACAAAGAGGAAATAGGCCAAAGTTTCCCTTTAAAGTGAACCTGTGTGCAGACTATGCATATTAAATTACTAACGGAGATCTATGGTCACAGCATACACTCTCATTTTATAACATTAGCATGGTAATAGCAATAGAAATAATAGTTATTTTTGACAATCCAATCTAAGCTTCATTGAAAAATCTCTCCTTTCATGTTGTGAGTTCTGCCTGTCTGCTGACCATCTATTTCAACAACTTCCTGCAGTTACTGCTTGCTTTGCAG